TTATTAATTCTTTATTACATACAAATAAAGTATAAGTCAAATAGTATAATTACACAATTATAGAAAATAATTAAGTCAAAATAAGATCAATTAATCTAGAAGTATTTGTAGTGTTTCCTCTCTTTAGTTTTGAAGGAAATAGTTGAATTTCATTATTTTCAGTACATTTAACGTAATGATCACGTAAAAGATATCTGATCACAAAATACTAACGTTGGAACATCTTTATCTCTAATGCTTTATTTCTTATAGCTGAATAATTCTTTTAAATTTTCTCATTTATTGGATGATTATGAGTTAACTTTTGATTCTTCTTAAAATCAATTTTATTTTAACATCAAATTCGTAATATAATAGAGGCAATTGTTTATTTGTCGTTTATGTCTTCTAACAGTACCTCTATGATCTCATACATACATAATATCTTGGCATCGACAATGATTAAAGAATTCTTTGATTATTTTTTCATTATATTTCATTGTAAAACGTTTACTGTTCACTAGCTGATATAATAAAATTAATGCACGAATTTTCAAATTCTCTCTGAAAATGTGTCAGAGTATCAAAGTGATCTGTAAAGAATCTTTATCTTGATCTATTTTTCTGGTTGAAGAGTTAAAATGAACAGGAATAAATACGTTGATTGAACTATAACAGCAAAATAGGCATTTTTCTAATAGGAGTTAAGAATAAATCTGATAGACTTTTTAATGATGCAATAATATTTATTTAGTACTATAAATGAGATTATATTAAATCGGTCCATTTTATTATAAAAATTATCAATTCATTTGCTTTGATTTGCAATACTATTAATAAGCTCAATAGAGAAAAGGTTAATGTGATAATTAATCAATTTACCTTAAACGAGGTTATGTTCTCAGATTGCAAGCTATTTGAATTTTTATGTTTTTCTATTTCTCATTTTTAAAGCCAATTAACTAAGAAAATAAAATATAAATTTTTTAGTTTTGTAGCTGATCGACAGAAAAAAATGATATAATTAAGAGAGAAGAAAAGTGCGAACAGTAGATAGTTTTCATTTATTCCATTGAAAATAAGGAAATTCAACTATTTCCTTCAAAACTAAAGAGAAGAAACACTACAAATACTTCTAGATTAGTTGATCTCATTTTGACTTAAATATTTTCTATAATTGTGTAATTATACTATTTGACTTATACTTTATTTGTATGTAATAAAGAATTAATAAAAAGAATTNAAGAAATTTAATTTATATTAATAAACAAATACATATAGTATTATAATATGACTCCATATTTACTAATACGTTGATTATACCTACCTGTGTGTACATAGCCAAACGTCTATGTACACACATGTGTACATAGTCACTTCCTTTTTTTTAATAAATCGAAAGATCGGTTAAGATTATTTAATGATTAAATCAGGTGTTGTTGTATTATTATTATTTTTGTAGTTTGTGATTTGTAAGTTGAAGAAATAAAAATGGCTACAGTAACAGCAGGAAATACAACAACAATATCTTCATCAGCAAAAAAGAAAATTATTTGGATATGGCAATCAAATTCCCATCTGTGGAATGAGAATGAACAAGAAGAATGGAAACATTATTCTGATTTTGAGATTCTAGTTATTGAAGGAGCCTATGCACAAAAGAGGGACAATGTTGAATTAGAAGATTATATCATTAACTTTGAGCATATGTTGAAAGTTAATAAAGTAGATTATATCACTAACTTTAAGGGTATGTTGGAAGTTAGTAAAGTAGATAGATCCAAACAGAGACGAGTGAAGAGACAAGAGACAGAAATTAGTCAGGATTTAAGAGAAGAACGATTTTGTTTTGCGGAAAATCCTGTTAAATCATTTACAACATCTGGTGGAGTGTGGTCTGAATTTATCGCTGAATGGATGAAGAAAAATGAAGCAATAATTGAAGAAAAGAAAGAACAATGGTCAGAAATTGTTAAACAAGCTGCACAAGGTATTGTGTCTTTCTTTCTTTCTATTTTATCTTTATCAACTAAAAATCTCTTTTTTAGGTATTTTCAAAGAAAGTAAATCACTAAATAAAGAGTTTGAAGGACAATTAATTTCAAATGAATTAATGAAAGCTAAAGATAAGGAGAGTCACACAATTTTCGAATGCTGTGTACAGCTTTATTCATGTGGATGATTTTTGCATAATTTAATTAATTCGAATTTAAGAGCAGATGATAGAAATAAAATTGATACATTAGGTGCTTATTGTTATTTGTTACTAAAACATTTAATGAATTCAAGACGTTCCTTTCAAAAACTAATTCTTTATCGTGGTGGTACATTAACAAATGAAATGATTGAAGAATATAAACAGGCCATTGCAAGCTATGCAATAAAATGGTTAGGATTTACATCAACATCGAGAGATCTTCATGTAGCTGAATCGTTTCATGGTAATACATTATTTATTATTGAAATTCAAACTAAATTCATGCATTCAACTAATCTAAGTGACATTTCATCAGTTTCACATCATCCTGATGAACAAGAAGTACTTTTACAGGCTGGACATTATTTTGAAGTTGAAAAAGTTTCTTCAATAAATGGAAAATATGTAATTTATCTTGTATTTTAATAAAAACAATGCTATTATTTCATCATAGTTTTATATCATTTATTTATCATATAATATTTTTGGTGTGAAATTTCAACAAATATGTATGCTGTTGGATGAGTTTTAAATGTGTTAGACGGAGAGTGAGAGAATCTCCCTCTATGTGCGTCATCTCTATCTCTTTTTCTCTCTCTCTCTCTCTCTCTCTCTCTCTCTCTCTCTGCTTGTCCTCTCTTTGTTGTCTTTCTCTTGTGTGTGTGGTTGAGGGTGTCGGTGTGGGTGTGGGGTGTGGCTATTGGTATGAGTGTGTCTTCCACTCCTCATCCGCACCCACACCCACACCCACACCCACGTGTTTATGATAATTCGTTGCACTGCTTTATTCTTAAGATAGACGAAAATAAATCATTGAAGTCAATTCTTGTTTTCTATCGAAATAAGTAAGTAAATATAAAAATATGTTCGTTATCGTACGATAGGTAAAGTTTTAAGTGTAGTGTTTTTATGTCACCATGGTTCACATTCTTTTAGTTTTATTTCAGCTTTGATATCATTAGCGTGGTTATCCAAATGGGTAACTTCCATGATTTTAAAGGCCGTATACGGCATGATCAGAACTTCTTGCTCCTTTGCAAACTTTGATATTTCTTCAAGATTAAGTCCACTTCTACGGTTACGAATGTCGTAGATACACAGAACACGAATAGTGCTGCTGACAGCTGAACTTTTAGCGAATCCTGTGGCAACTTTTGGATTTTGGGACGAGGAAAGAAATGATTTAGTTAGAATACGCGTTCCTTTCTTATATTTTTCCAATTCACTCCTATCAATAGTCATGCCACGATAAGATTTGCCGTGAAAGTTGAGTCCATCCAACAAGGAATGATGAACGATAATTCCAACTATCGCCGCACAGTTTTGATTGATGTTGATTTTTATTGGCTCAGTTCCATCTAATGTTGCCTGCGCCAGATTTCTATTTAATACTCCATAGAACTCTGTTTCGGCAGTATATGCTTCAAGAAGATACTTCGGATCTTTTTTCTGTGCTGCTTTGTCAAATAATTTCCCAATGTAGTTTATCTCTGACTTCTGTGTCAGTGTTTTTTCGATGTAATTGCGACGAGCATCATGTATCAGCTTATCGAAATCGGCAAGTTTATTGTATGGCTCGAAATATTCACGCACAAGTAGTGCCAAGTAATCTGCATTACTTCCAACAATCGTCCACTCGATGCCAGGCGTGTCACACTCGAAACGCTTGTCATTTTGCCTCTTGCCTGCAATACAATTCAAGAAAAATAACATTATAACACTTTCCTCATAATGGTGCATGATTTTCTGATCGCGAACTATCTACGTGTCTAAACAAAAATTATTTTTTACGAGATATTGGGTGTGGGTGTGAGTGAATAGAAGACACAGCCACAGCCACACCCACACACCCACACCCACACACCCACACCCACACCCACACCCACACCCACACCCACACACCCACACCCACACCCA